CTTTCCTCCTATTTGTCCTGAGATGTAAACTTTCAAGTTCTATTTACCAGGGAACCAACAAAAGAACGAGTAGAAAACTTACAACATTTATACCCACAAGGTCAGCTCCAGCGCTGGTGCCGGCACCGCCTCAGGCCACGGTGCCCACGTGGTGGGAGGGAGGGAGGGGCCGTCAGATCAGCTCGTTTGCACCCCAAGATCAGCTCTTCCTCCTCAGCCCAAGGCCAAGGGAATTTCCTTTGGATTTTGAAGGCTTTCCAAGGTCAGAACCCCCTTCGGGCTGTGAACACGCATGGAAGGAATGGCCTTCGAGCACCTGCTGAGTCCTCATGAGGAGGCACTCGCTGACTTAGCTCGTTTTCATTTTGCCGACACTTTATCAGGGAATGACCAACAGGGGGATCGGGAGATGAAGGCTCCTTGGGGAAATGGTGACGAGGAAAGAAAACAGAGCAACAACTTTATGGATCTTAAAAGTCTGACCCCACTTGGCTCTGGGGCCTGAAGGAGTTAACGGTGCCGTTCACTGTGGTGATAAACTGTTTTTTGTTTTGTTTTGTTGTTGTTCATCCTCATCCAAGGATATTTTTCCATTGATGTTTAGAGAAAGTGGGAGGGAGGGGGAGAGACGGAGAGAGAGAAATGTCCGTGTGAGAGAGACACATGGATTGGTTGCCTCCTGCTCGCACCCGACGGGGCCTGGATGGAGCCTGCAACCCAGGTATGTGCCCTTGGCCAGAATTGGTCCTCGGGCCGATGCTCTATCCACTGAGCAAAACTGACTAGGACTATTCTACTTGTTTTTAAATATATTTTTATTATTGATTTCTGAGAGGGAGGGAGGGAGAGAGAGAGAAACATCTATGAGAGAGAATCATGGATCGGCTGCCTCCTGCACGCCCCACACTGGTGATCGAGCCCGCAACCCGGGCCTGTGCCCTGACCGGGAATTGAACTGTGACCTCCTGGCTCATAGGCTGACTCTCAACCACTGAGCTGCACTGGCCGGGGCTATTTTATTTGTTTTTAATTAACCGCGGCCCGTCCTGTGGCTGTTGTGTAAGTGTACGTCCTGCACAGTGACCGTCTCACATCCCCAGAGTGAGGCCCAGTGACACACACCGAGGCTCACCCTCCATCCAAGCAAGGTGATTGCTGGCCGTCACCACAGTCTTAGGTCAGTTCTCAGGGAAGCTAATTCAAAACAAGGCTAAAGTCTTCATCATAACGGGGAGAAAATAAACATTAAGCAAAGGAGGAAGCGATAAACATGACCTTTAGGCCACACAACTTCCTCAGAGGTCAGCTATTCCGGGAGCTGAAATGATGCATTTACCACACGCTCAGCTGTTCAACCTATAATTATTTTAACGATCATGTGTGTTGTTTATAACCATTATCTTGCAATAACAGCTTGCATGGATCACTGCATAATTTAAAGATATAATAGCTTTTCTTGCCAATATTTGATTTCCAACTCTACATCTGCTGGTTGCGTTTCATTCTTTCGCATCTGCTGACTTTAACTGTTTCTATGTCGAGCTCACTGGGTAAGCGTGTTACTTCCTCGGGGTTTGTCTCAGACCATGCACCTGGCTGTTCTCTGTGCATAAACCCTTTTGCTTCTGTGCTGGTTCGTGGGGTGACCTGTTTGTCCAAATGTAACGAATTGGGTTCTGAATTTGCAAGTCAACTACGTGGGCGAGAACACCCACCTGAGACCCAGCGGGTGGGAGAGGGTGGAGGTCATGTGAGCGATGAAGCCTGGAATCAGAGCACCCAGTCTGGAACGACTCAGTTACTTCGGCTGCATTAATCAGATTATTGCCTTCATAGATGATCAGTATGTTCCTTGTCCATGAAGATAAAACTTTGGATCCCACATGGGTTTAATTTATATCTTTCTCTAGTTAGCCTGGTTGGATGGGGGGATTTTATTCATTCATTTATTCATAAATATATTTTTATGGATTTCAGAGAGGAAGGAAGAGGGATAGATAGAAACATCAATGATGAGAGAGAATCATTGATTGGCTGCCTCCTGCACACCCCACACTGGGAATCCAGCCCACATCTCAGCATGTGCCCTTGACCAGAATCGAACCCAGGACCCTTCAGTCCACAGGCCGATGCTCTATCCACTCAACCAAACTGGCTAGGGTGAGGGATGTTGATTTTGATCTTGATGTGAAATCTTGTAAATTGGTCCAAGTGATCTGACACCTAAATCTGTCCTAGGGCTTACATGCCCTAGGATCTCTGTATTTCTAGACCAAGAGGAAATGGACTTGTGATGGTTAATTTTATGTGTCAACCTGACTGGGCTAAGTGATGGCCAGGTAACTGGTGAACATGATTTGTGGGGGCGTCTGTGCAGGTATTTCCGGGTGAAACTAGCATTTGAACTGGTGAACTGGGCAAAGCACATCACACCTCTCCCCAGCACGGTGAGCATCACCAATCCACTGAGCTCCAGGACAGAACAAAAGGGCGGATTTGTTCTCTGCTTGAGCTGGGACGACACACATTATTAAGAGTGATTCCACCTGCTGGCTTTTATTTTTCAATGTGGCCACGGGAGAACCCGGTCTCTATGTGGCTCGTACGACTCCTACGGGACAGGCCGAGGTGTTTCCCAACCACTTTATGTGATGCCCACTCTCTCCAGGGACCTGCACACCCGCCCCCATGAGCGTTGCTTGTTGACAGCCCTTGTCATCATCGAATGTACGTTTCCTCACTTATCTACCTGGTCCCCCCACTAGGACGTCATTTCCAGGAGGCGGGGACTCTGCTTTGCTTGCGGTTGCATCCCTGGTACTTGGGCTAGTGCCTGCCCCGTGCTGGGTACCAGCGAACAGTGCTGACCACAGGAAGGGGGCACTCATTTCAGTGAGAATGAATGCGGCGGGTAAATGACAAACATGAGTCAGCTTAGCGAGATCTCAAAACGTAAGTAAGGTGGATTGGAAAGGAAACAGCTGAGTGAAACATACATAAACTCACATAAACGCATATATAGCCGCCCAAATACACATACGCCCACACATGTGCACGTGCATGTGTGCATATGTCTCTGAGTGACATCCATCCAAGTCCATGGAACACGCGTGTACTAGTATGTGCACACACACCACAGACTGTGGCATAGAAAGCAGCTCCCCATGCACACGGGAGCCGGGCGCCCGCGGCCGGAGGGAGGAGGAGCCGGCAGGACGCGGATGCTGCCTGAGAAACACGGATGTTATTTGGATCCACAGACGCGAAGGGGACCTGGCAGGACGGCCCAGGCCGACACCCCTTTCGCCGTCTCAGCCCCGACCGCCGACCCCGCGGACGGCGTCCTGGCACCCGAGTGTATGGGAGACCCTGCGTCATGGGTAAGCCCTGGAGACCACGGACGCGGAGGAGCTGGTCTGCCCGGAGCCGCCCCGGGAACCGAGGGGAGGACCTGAGAAACGCACCCTTTGTCCTGAACGCGAGAAGGCGCTGAGCTGAGGGGGTGACGGGAGGCGGGAGGGGCCAGGTGTGGTGCTGGGCGAGGGATGCAGAACGAGAGACACCCGTGGGCGCTCGTCCAAGAGGGGCCTCTTCACCCGGCCGGCATGGCTCAGGGGTTGAGCCTCGACCTAGGAACCAGGAGGTCACAGTTCGATTCCCGGTCAGGGCACAAGCCCGGGTGGCCACTCCATCCCCAGTGTGGGGCGTGCAGGAGGCAGCCGGTCAATGATTCTCTCTCATCATCGATGTTTCTATCTCCCTCTCCCTGCCTCTCTGAAATCAATAAAAATATATTTAAAACAACAACAACAACAAAGAGGGGCCGCTTCCCTGAGTTCCCGGCCGGATCCAATGTTGTTATTAACGGGAGGATCAGGCGTCCCGGCCCAGGTCCCCGCTGTGGCCGCAGGCAGCGCGCTCCGCGGGTCAAGGACATGAGGTCGAGTCAGAGCCGACCTGTCTGCATTTCTCACCCGAATCCCATCTGTTCAACAGCCACCCAGCACTGACCCACGAAGCACCTGTGTCCTGTCTATTCAACCACCCAATGCTGACCTACTAAGCACCTGCATCCCGTCTGTTCAACAGCCACCCAGCGCTGACCCACGAAGCACAAGTCCAGTCGAATACGAAGCAAACAGAAGTGCCTCCGGGGATTTTACCTTTTACTCTTCGATTTTTAAAAGTTGGAATTTAAATGTCCTGTTTATATATATTCAAACGCATCATCTTCACGCCATCGAAACAGAACCAGTAAATCACCTTCCACAGCGGAGCCGAGGCAGACGCTGCCGTCTGTGCCATCGTCTCAGGGCCTCTCATGCCGTGGCATTTGGAGACAATTTCCCGCTCCTGATGGGCAATTTGTCTCGGTCCAGAGGAATTAGGAACTAGTTACGTAGCTTTTAGGTCACCGAGAGGCATCACGAGTTTGAGAGATCCTAGCTCCCGGGGTTCAGTTCAACAAGTGTCTTTCTTACTTTTTTTGTTGTTAATCCTCACCCAGGGTATATTTTCCCATTGATTTCAGAGAGAGAGGAAGGGAGGGGAGGGAAGAGGAGGGGGAAGGAGAGAGAAACATCGATGTGAGAGACACAGAAAGGTCCTTTCGTTCAGCCCGGCACAAGCCCAGGCTCAGGGGACCCCTGGGTGATGGGCTGCAGTGGGGGGGGGCGTCCTCGGTCCCTTGAGGGATGGACAGCCACTCACCAGGCGCAGAGCAGCACTTTGGGGGCTTGTCAGCGCGGAGGGCCAGCGGCTGCTGAGGCCACGTGGAGCGTGGGGAGGGGGGTAGCGGCCGCTGGGGCCACGTGGAGCGTGGGGAGGGGGGGTTAATGCTTCGATCAGGTGGCGCCCAGACATCTCGGCATCACATGGGACACCTCCTGGTGGTTGTGGACGCCCTTGACCAGCGACATCCCCGGGAGCCGGGCGCATGGGATGGCCCACCCACCACGGACCCTGGACCCGGCTGAGCTGCAGAAGGAACGGGCACTTGCCTCTCTGATCAGGTTCATGAATCTGGGTCCCAGGCGCCAGGGCTTGTGTCGGTGGCACTGCAGGGAGCTGACGGCCAGCTGGGCGGCCCTGTGGG